GGCTGATTTCGGAACTGTCTTTAGGAGCCTTAAAAAATATGTTTTTGGCGTTGTACATAACATATTTCAGTAACATGGAGTATGCAGCACCAGCATGGGGCCCACACCTGGTTAAACATGTTCGGAAGCTCGAGAAGGTGCAAAGGTTTGCAACTCTACTAGTTTCAGTGCTGGGGGGGGGGGAAGGAAGACTGAGCTGACCCTGACGACCCTAGAGAGAGATGACCATGGAAGACATTGGGATATACACAATACTCAGAGGTTCCGAAGGAGCAGATGAAGACTGTCTTAAATGTAGTGTATAGAGAAGGGACATAGATGGAAGGTAAAGACACATATAAGCCAATTGAAGGCGAGGATTTTTTTTTTTTCAGTTTCAAGATGGATTCGAGAGTATATAGGACAGAACCCAAGAGGCAAGGACCAATAATACCTTCGGCTGTAAATGAAGAGAGGAAGCCTGGAACTATGACTCGTCCTAAGCAAAAAGACAAGAACTCAGAGTTTAGTTGATGTGTACATGAGCACATGCACGCACACACACACACACACACACCACACACAGTCAACATTCATCCATTTACCTGGGATGCGCTCAAGAGTGTTTCTCCAGCGTTAAGAGTGCTTATTCGGCTAATGCCTGACGGTCTTACCAACAGATCTTTTGTTACAGCGCTCGCCCTCTGTTGAACATGCAACATCACAAAGCCTTTATATTAAAAGACATAAATTACGTTGTTCCTCATACCAACGATACTTTCATTACGTTTATCATTTTGAAATAACTCAAATGTTTTCCATAAACGAAGTCGAGTCATTAACTGAGGACAGTAAAGTGATATAGATGTAATGAAAAGAGAACTATCTTCTGTTTATTCTTTATTTACTTTTTCTTTATACTTTTATCTGAATTCAACACTGTTAACACAGTCTTGACCCCATGGCCAGCCTACCAACAGTCAGTCAGTCACTGTGTCAGTCTCTCTTTCGCTTTTTAGGACAGTTCGCTTTTTAAATAGATTTTGCTTGTAATGTACATTATGTATGATGTATATAATGTATGTAAATATATGTTTATATATACTCATACCTAGAAATTGTTCCCTTAATCCGCCTGGACTTCCTGCTCATTTCTTCAACGTTACAAGCTCCTGATGACGGGTTGATTGCAACACGAAAGGCCTAGAACTATCATTTAACTCCCCCCTGTGGTTGTTTTGCATCTTGCTATCGCATGTTCGTATATATCGCGAAACGGGTGACGAGTACTCAAATTTACCGCGGGATAGAGAGCAGGAAATACAGTTCGAGGTTTCTAGGAACGAAACCTTTGTAAAGGAATTACCCAGGAATTCAACGAATTAAGTAGGAAAGAAACCACGGAACGGGTGGGGGTTGAACCCATGGCGAGTGAGGCGTAAAACACAGGGAAAGATGTCACGTGTTTTTCTTTTCAGAGTATGGCTCTTCCCGAGTCGCTGATGTTGGGTTTCGTCGCCACACACGGCAGTTTGGTCACTGGTTTTGGTGTCTGCGTTCGACTAATCTCTAAGCTTCCAATTTGCAACTGGTTTGTAAAATGTTCTTATGAAGGTTGTGTGGCTCTACTAAAAGAAAGTTAAATTGCCGCGGGTTCGAACACATGAAAAAAAAAAAATGATTACAATTTTGTCTACCTACCTACAGGTTATTCCCGGTGGACCAGGGCCTGATCAACCAAGCTGTTACTGCTGGCCGCACGCAGTCCAGCTCTCTTGAAGGCAGCCAGGGGCTTATTGGTAATTCCCCTTATGCTTGGTGGGAGGCTGTTGAACAGCCTCACATTACTCACATATACATACGTGGCAGATTAGATATATGTATCTTGAGAGAGCCATTCCCATGAACGGATCTTTCTAGAATTCCTGCTCTATTTCTGTAACACTGCAATCCCCTGATGATGTGCTGATTGCAACACGAACGGTCTAGAGCTATCATTCAGCTCCCCTCGTTGTAGCTGTTTTGCATCTTGTATTGCTTGTTTGCGATTATATATATATATATATATATATATATATATATATATATATATATATATATATATATTATATATATATATATAAATTTTATTCGATCGACTGTAGCCTCAGAATTAACCTTAGCTGTTTTTATGCAAAGAATGAGCTCTAGGAATGGAGAGAGGTCAGAAGGGATCGTTTAGTAGCTTCGTCAACGATTTAAGAGATCTTGTGAGGGCAGTTTGTGTTGTTCCTTCTTCATTGCTGTGTCATGTTATTCCTTCTCTCTCTCTCTCTCTCTCTCTCTCCACCAGGAGGCAGAAAGTTTTCTCCTCTAGTGTTTCACACTGATATTATTTAGTTAATTATTTATTAAAACCAAATATAATTTAGCGCTTTTTAATAAATGATCATGATGATTTTCCAATGTGAAATACTGCAGTGAGTAGATTTACTCGCTTCACCAGGAGGCAGCGAGCGAGAGCGAGGGACTAAAAAAAATTCCATTCGCTTGCAGTGCCCACGATGTAGCAAGCATCTCCTCTCAGGATCGATACTCTTACTAATATAGCCGCACAATGTGCGTGTTTCCAGAATGTAACTTATACAGAATACGGTAATCACACACTGCATGTGTTACCATTATGTAAATATCTTATGCTGTAGGTACATACTATTGGTATTCCCACCAATTAACAAACAAGTCTCTGGAATAGTCAATGAGGGTATTTTCTCCGTGTATCATATAGAATATTCTTCCCATTTCGTAAGTAGATGATACCGTCGTTTCACCCACTTTAGCAATAGTTATTCAGAATAAAGGAAAATTAACTACATGTATATGGATAGAGTAAAAGAGATGTACCTGATGATATTTACAGGATAAAAGGACCAGAGGAGATATGATTACGAGGTAGATGTTCCAAAGTTCTGATCTGAACTCGGACAAGATCGCTGATCTTCTCTGAGTCTCCTGAACACTTGAGATGACAGGTGGATCCTGCAAACTTCTACTTATATTCAGTATACACATATCTTTACTTCCTAGGTACTTCTTCATCAATATCCTTTTCAGTCTAGGAGGCCTGGTCTGAGGCCGGGCCGTGGAGAAGACAGTCCCCAGAACCACTAACAGATAGCAGATAATATAGTGTAGAGTAGCCTCAGACTGCAGGAGTTCCCACCATGTCACTGTTATACAGAGCAATGTTACCACACACTGCAGGTGTTTCCATCATGTAGCATCAGAGTACAGTGTAGCCGCACACTGCTCTAATTTTGTTAAAACAAACAATAAGGCAGTCTCGGTCGTAGGTGCACCTACTGTGCACCCACGACCAAGGTGTTCACATGTGTGTGGGCGGGGCGGTACAAGCTGTATGTGTGGGCAGCATTATTTAGTCCAGAAAAACGTTAGCGGTTCAACTGTCAAACTCCTTTAATGATGGACTCAGACGATCTTAACACGTGAAATATATAATAATAATTATATAGTGTATATATATATATATATATATATATATATATATATATATATATATATTATATATATATATATAATATCGCAAACCAAGCGATACAGGATGCAAAACATCAATGGGGGAGTAAAATGATAGTTGTAGGCCTTTCGTGTTACAATCAACACATCAGGAGCTTGCAAAGTTGCAGAAAAAAAGAAGGATGTCCGAGCTAATACGATCCCTGAGGAAGTATTCACTCCGTTTAACACATCCTCTGGGATCGTATTAGCTAGGGCATCCTCCTTTTTTTCTGCAACTTTACAAGCTCCTGATGATGTGTTGATTGCAACGCGGAAAGAAGTACTGTGGGTGTTTAGCTAATAATAATTATTATAAATATCCTAAATGCATTTTTTTGCGTTTGCAGATGATATGCAACAAATCTTTACATTTTTCAAAACAATAAGACGGGCCTAAACGTCGTCAATAGTTTCCCCTCTCTTAAGTACACATTGTCTATTCTGTAGTAATAATAACAAGAGTAGTAATAGTAATAGCAGAAGTATAAATATTATAAACTGTAGTATAAGTAGTAGTGCAAGTAGTAATAGTATGCCAAACGCCAACACGGGTAAGCTTATTGATCGCCACGAGCGGGGAGTGGCTCCAGCATATTCTATTATTGAAGCCTTTAATAATAACCGGTTCAAACAGGGACGATGGTATGGGAATGTAGTGACACTGCTTCCCTCAACCCGAACATCACTTCAACTAGCGGAATCTGGGTCGACGTAAAGGATATCTTGCGCTAAGCAGACATCCCATTATGTGTCGTTGTGGGGAGAGAGATGAGATGAGGATGTCCTATTCGAGCATCACAATACAGTTGTGTGTCTGGGAAGGTGGGAGGATAATATGTTGCTGGAAGGTGAGATCAGATACGAACCCTGTTTATCCCAATCTCACATAACCTAATCTCACTACTCATACTATGATCTCACCTACACACACCTTTATCCCACCCTGCATACCTTATCTCTTTACACCGTATGTTATTTTCTACCTCACATATCCTACTTCCTGCCTCATACACCATATTTCCTACCTCGCATATCCTGTTTCCTACTTTCAGCGTATTTCAAGTGGATGGCGAATCTCAGTTTGATAAAAACTCATACTATGAGACTTAAATGTAAAAAAGAAAAAAAATATATATCATTAGTATTTTATAAAACTGGAGCAAGATGTTAAGTTTATTTAGGCAGAGGTACACATGAGTACAATTATGATACATAGTGTAAATTAACTAGGATAACCAAAAAAGTCAGCGACTTGTTTCCACTGGGTCCTTGTAATATTGTGTAATTTAACCTTAAAAGTTAAAATAACTTAGTAATTCAACTGCGTGAAAATCATTCACAATAAAAAGAGATAATGATATAATGATTCTCTCCTAAGACATTTATAACATTGGAAGTATAAGGATATCGTGTATAACTAAGATTAGTTATATACGACACCCTTATTAATTAAAACGACTTACCTTTTAATATCGGGGGAGTTGTTAAGTGTTATATCCAAGTGTTGTTTTAACTTTTTGCAATCTAAATTTGTAGTCATTTAAAAGTATTTCTTTCCAAACTACACCTTGCTGGAACTGGATCAAAATATCCCGCTAAACGCGCAAAGTAACCACGATGAATCATAAAACACGTATTACAGTGCTGTTAATCCGCGAACACTGATTAATGTCATTGAATGCGAGGTGTTCCAGTCAGTGGAGTGGAGGAGAGAGCAACGAGCGTACCACCATGCTACCATCACCACGGCCACAGCCACACTGAGACTGAGTCTGGCTCCCTCAGTCTTCAACACGGCCCTGTCTCACCTGTGCCGCCCTGACTGGCTGCTTGCTTGCTTGCTTGCTTGCTTAATGGGGTTTAAAGCCTATCGACTGCAAGAGGGTCATTCATTAACGCCGCATGTTAACTACTGACCACCAATTAAGAATACTTTAATCCCTAAAACAGGGATTAAAATTAACGCTTAGTGTATATGCGCTTGAAGATATGGAACATATCCACGCTTCTCCCTCTCCCAGGTTGTATACGGATTTATTGATGAATAAATTAATTTTAACAAGGCTGCGTAGATCTGTTGGGCGACATTTGGTGTCGAAAAATTTGGCACGCCAAAAATTTGACTGGGATAAAAAAATATATATATATATATATATATATATATATATATATATATATATATATATATATATATATATATATATATATATATATATATATAATAAAGTCCGGTTTAGGAATGCTCCATTACTCTTCATTCCATTTTACTCTCACTGTTCCTTTCGTTTTATCTCTTTATATTAACATTTCTAAGAAAAAGTCTCTTTATCGGTCCAAGACAGAGAGGAAGATGGAACATATGATGAGGGAATTTGAGGTAATTATTCCATCAGCCTAGAGATGATATATTCAGTCTATCAACCTGAGGGACTGATCACCTCTAACTTCCTCTTCACATCCTCCACCATTTTTCTCTAAATTGGACTGCTAAAGCCACTGGCTGGCCAGACGTTTCCACAGTAAAGATATCCAAGAGCCAAACATGTTTCTTACTCGTCTGATAATGGTCTACCATGGAATGAAATATCTTTTTGTTTTTATCTGTAGTTTTGTTACAGGTTTCGGTATTTTTTTTTTTTTTTGAATAGCGTGGTTTTGTTGAAATGTTGCAACCGCTCTATTGACATGTCTCCTCTAAGTTCAGTTTTGTTAACTCTGCTGATTATTCACTCGTTGTTGTATATGAACAATTGGGTATAATAACTTATTAATTTTTGGGCTTCCACTCACGTAAGATTTTTACGAATAGAAATGAACTTTTAAGGTTATATATATATATATATATATATATATATATATTTATATATATATATATATATATATATATATATATATATTATATATATATATATAAATATATATATATATTATACAAAAAATATAAGGAAGTACCACTCTCTCTCTCTCTCTCTCTCTCTTATATATATATAATAATATATAATATATATTATATATATATATATATATATATATATATATATATATATATATATATATATATATATATATATATATATATAATATATATATATATATATATAATTTATCAGCATTAGTTAAAACCCCATTAAATTATTACCGTCAGTTCAGCTAGAGAGGACAACCTCAGGAAAACATGGACGACAATTCTTGTCTCTCTCCATGTGGCTTGATTAAATTGTCACTTTCAGTGTATTACACTTGTCTTTATATTCTTGTTAACTCTATTTTATAAATATTTTTTTATATTAATCTGGGATAATGGGTAGCTACGTTTATCTTTTTTTTCACTTGGAAGCGCTAAACCAGCAGTGGTCATGTAGCACTTGAAGAATGGGAGGTAATTAGGTTTGATCCGAGAAGGCAGAGAGTATCACCAACTCCTCTGATTAAAAATCTTTCACCAGCATCACGGCATCCACCATGAGGGGATAAAACTGACCTCTATCATAACGTATATTTATGTTGCAAAGCATTAGGCTCAATTGCAAATCGTATTGTTGAAGAGAAGGTAAATTAAACTCGTTAAGATTAGCTTCAAAATGAATGTGTTTCATGATTTATTAAGAGCAAAAAAGGAGTTAACTAGCATAGGTATAACAGACATGAATTTGTTAACGCGTCTGAGCTTTGTACCGAGCTGACTACCCATGGGCACTGGAGGGACTTGTTGAGAGATCTAGTAATGCTCTACTCCCAGCTTGGGGCACTGCTCACCCAGCATGGGACACTGACAGTCCTTCCAGTATGGGGCACTGACAGTACTCCTAGCATGGGGCACTGACAATCCTCCCAGGATGGAGAAATGCCAGTCCTCTCAGCTTGGGGCACTGCTAGTCTTCCAAGCCTGGGTTACTGACAATCCTTTCAGCCTGGGGCACTTCTTTTCCAGCATGGGGCACTGACAGTTTTTCCAGCCTGGGGAAATGCCAGTCCTCTCGGCTTGGGGCACTGCTAGTCTTCAAAGCCTAGGTTACTGCCAATCCTTTCAGCCTGGGGCACTGCCCTTCCAGTATGGGACACTGCCAGTTCTCCCAGCCTAGGGCACTGCGATTCCTCAACATGGTATCCTCAAATCTCATAACAATATTTCTGCCTACAGTACTGATTCTCTTCCAAACTTAAGCTCCAAGAAGATTAGACTAATTACACACACACGTGTAAATATATATATATATATATATATATATATATATATATATATATATATATATATATATATATATATATATATATATATATATATATTCGTGTATGGCCAGTTTCCTGTTGGCCATGGACATGGCCTCTGTACTCCACTTCAAACTCAACAGCATAACAAAAGGGAAAAGAAATATACATTAATTTCAAATGGATACCATTGAAAATATAATCTCCATAAGAGGAAATGAGTCTTATTACACGCACTTGATGTTATGGATCACTTGTGTACTGATCATTCCACCTGGTTCCATTACTTCACGTGTTTTTTTTTTTTTTGACCATTGAGGGATTGTGAATCAAAGACACGTATGCAAGAATGTTTTGAAACAACGTTTCCTTCAGAGTTTGTTGACTGAAACGTAGTTTATATATAGGTCTGAGATGTCTATGTTTCTGTTTACTGTTCCTCCTCAGATACAGAAAGGTCTTCTGTAACCCGCCACATTTTAGTAACAGCAGAATTATTTACTTTCATCTAGTTGTTTTCTCCAGTTAACAAATATTTAACAAATTTGTATATCATCAACATTCCTAACTAGATATAAATCTGTCACTAAGAATTTTCATCTGCAGACATTAAGACATATGCCTACTTTTCCAAGGTTTTGACTAGAAATTCAGGACCAAGACATGTAATAATTAAGTGAAACTATACGAAATGTGTACTAAGTATGATGAGACCAGACAAATGTATTAAATACAAAGAGATAAGAGAAATAGATATATCAAATACAATGAGACCTGAGAAATGGATGCATTAAGATAACAAGGCCAGAGATATGTATAATTTTATCAATACAATATAAGATTGAAGTAAGTAGCTTACATGTTATAAAATCTTAATAAGGGAGAAATGCTATCAATATCATAATCTAGGATGTGAAAAGGTAATAATATTAGTGTGAAAATTAATATATTTGAACTGCCAAGAAACAGGAAGTATATAACACTGTGCCCATAGTGAGTCTTATTACACTTGTCGATACTGTACTAAGGAAAAACCTACATGGTGACATAAATATATGCGTCTCTGTCTCTATGAGATTTATTACTTAGCGTATATATATATATATATATATATATATATATATAATATATATATATATATATATATATAAATATACATACATATACATACATATATATATATAATATATAAATATATATAATATATATTATATATATATATAATATATATATATATATATATATATATATATATATATATATATATATATATATATATATATATATATATATATATATATATATATATATAGGCCGTATAGGTAAAACTGGTCAATGAGTGTATGCAATAACTTCGCAAAAATCATTCTGAATCTAACAAAAAACATTTTTCATTGTGTCTGTTTATTATTAAATTATTGTAAACTTGTCTAAAATACATTTGGTTGGATTAGGCAAAATTAAATGCGCTTGTTATAAGAAGGTTTAGGTAAGTTTTTCTAAGGTCTTTTGTAAAAACTATTACTTTTTACATTAACATAAATGAAAGATAATATATATCTTTGAATTTATAAGAAGAAAATTTTAGAAAGAACTTAATTTTAAACGAGTTCTTGCTAATTGCCAAGTTTTTATCTATTCGGCAAGATTACATATATATGTACGTATATATATATATATATATATATATATATATATATATATATATATATATATATATATATATATATATATATATATATATATATATATATATATGTATATATAAGTGTAAGCATAAGAAAAGCAGATAATTTCATTTTGACAGTAACATGAGACCCAAAAATTATAAGCTTTACAAACTGATGAGTTAAAGATATATACACACACTGATAACTTCTCATTATGATCATTTTTTTTTACTTACTATTAGTACTAAATTTGTTTAAAGTGGTTTTCTGTGAATTTTATTTGGAAAGTATAGCAAAAAAAAAAAATTAGTTAAGCCTTATAAAAATTAAATATAACTATCCAAAATAGAAATAGCCATAAAAAGATGTCATAAAAGAGTCAGGTTAAATTTATATATAAACATCACAAAAAAATAAGTTATTTTAAGTGTATGTATAATATGTATTATTATTGCATTTGCAAAAAAATAGAGAAATAATTATATTTTAAGGTCAGTCATAATTTATGCTTGATTAGCTTTATATAGCACTTTTATAATTATTATGTGTTGAATATGAGACCTTAATTACCTTTATAATCTGAAACAAGAAATGAAAATCAATGTTGGTTTCTTAGGATTTTAAAGGAGTTCGAAGCCTATCGACTACACGAGAGTCAGTTCAACTTTCCGTAGTAATCTGATAACCACTAGTCATGTACACTGAAACGTACCTTGCATTGTATATACACCACTCAGTGTATATACAATGCAAGGTATACATCTACACATCTCAGTGTATATACACTGCAAGGTATACATCTACACCTCTCAGTGTATATACACTGCAAGGTATACATCTACACCTCTCAGTGTATATACACTGCAAGGTATACATCTACACCTCT